AGGTGGGATAGGGGATCCAGGGGGTCCCTGTGCCCAGGAAAGGGGGTCCAGTGGTCCCCAGTGTTGAGGAAAGTGGGGTCTGGGAAGGGCAGGAATGGGGGTCCAGGGGGTCCCAGGGTCAAAGAAAGGGGAGGATGAGGGGGCTGGGAGGGGCGGGATTGGCAAGAAAAGGGGCACAATTTGTTGAGGATAAGGGGGTTCAGAGGGATCCTGGAGCCGGGGATGGGGGTTCAGGGGGTCCTGGTGCAGGATAAGGGGATTCAGGGGGTTCCCAGTGCCCAGAAATGCGGGTTCAGGGGGGTTTCCGTGCCCGGGAATGGGTGTTCAGGGGGGTCTCGGTGCCCAGAAATGGAAATTGGGGGGTCTCGTTGCGGGATAAAGAGGTTTAAGGGGATCCCGGTTCGGAGGGAGAGTAAGCAGGAGGGGTATCCGGAAATAGAAGTTCGGGGGGTGCCGGTGCCCGGGAATGGGTGTTCAGGGGGGTCTCCTTCCGGGAATGGGGCTCAGGGGGTTCCCGTGCTCAGGAATCGGGATTCAGGGGGTCCCGGTGCTGAGGGAGAGGGTGCAGGGGGGTCCCGGTGCCCGGCAATGGAGGTTCAGGGAAGTGCCGGTGCCCGGGAATAAAGGTTGAGGAGTTGCCCGTTGCGGGGGTCCCACTTACCCTCGGGCTGCCCCCCCGAGACCCCCAGGAGCGCCAGGAGCACCCCCAGCCCCAGCGCTGGAGCCATCGCGCTGCTCCGCTGGCCCCGCTGGGCGCAGTTCGGGAGCCGCGAAAGCGAAAGTGGCCGGGGGAGCGCGGGGGAGGGAAGGGGACGGGGGAATTCCTGGGAACGCACCGGAATCTCCTTTGGGAGCCCTGCTGGGACCACCCTGAGTCCTCCTGAGACCCTCTGCAACCCTCGGCGGCCACGTCTTGCGGGACCCCCGGGCCGGGCCGAGCTGAACTCGCTTAAGCTGCGCTTCAACTCGGCCTTAAAGGCGCCGCTTTGGGGCCAAAGCGGGGGAAGCGCCGCCCAAGCCGGGCGGGCACTCGGGGAGGCGGTGGCGGAGCTCGGGCGCGGCCCCGGCGCGGCTGGAGGGGGCGGGAGGGGGGTCCGGCGGGTTCGTGCCGCCCTGTCCCCTCCCCAGGGCCCGCGCAGGGAGCGGCTGCCCGCGGGCTCCTCCTTCCCGCCCAGCCCCGGCGGGCTCGGAAGGAGCCGCTGCCGCAGCAGCGCTGCCTCGTCCCGGCTCCTCTCGCTCCGAGCCCTTTGGCTGCCCCGGGCCCGGCACTGGTCCCGCCCGGGGGGGACCGGCCTTGGAGCCGCATCGGCTGCTGCCAGATGGCCCTGCTGGGGCAGGGCTGGCACGGGAGGGGCTTGGAGTCCCTGCCAAGCCGAGCCGTGCTGGGACTGAAAGACAGACGCGGGCTGGGATGGACCGGGCTGGGAATATACTGGGATGGGGGTGTGGGATGGACCGGGCTGGGAATATACTGGGATGGGGCTGTGGGATGGACCGGGATGGGGGTGTTGAGCCAGATCGGGGCTGTGGGGGCTGGGCTGGCCCAGGATGAAGCAAGTTTGCATTTGAGCTCAGTTGTCTCTTCCCAAGATTGCTGTGCCAGATCCAGAGCGAATTTGGGAGGGGGAAGGAGGATGTGAGACTAAGAGGAGCAAGAAGAAGCAGCTTTCTCCTGCACGTCCTGCTCCGTCTCCCCTGGGCCTCCCCCTCCAGCCCAGCCCAGCCTGGGGGTCCCACTTTGGGGTCCCCGGGACCCCCAGGTGTCTCCTTGCAGGGACCCCTCAGGTCAGGGCTGAATTACTCTTTGATTGGCAGACAAAAAGTGGAAATTGCTGCTGACTGGTTGGATTCCCTCTCCTTTGGTCACTACAGAAAAGCCCCTTTGAATCACTCCCACGGCCACTTGGGGACTCATTGCCCTTCCCTGGGCAGCAAAAAAAAAGGTCACAACTATATTGGCCTGCAGTAGTTTTGAACTGCTTTTTGGGACACAAAAGTCCTTTATTTCCCCAAACCCAGTGTCTTTGGGAGTATTTTCCATGGGAAGTTCCTCTGTTGTTCCCCACTAGATCTGTTTTCTCCTCCTCTTCCCCCCCTACCCATTTTTGCTCCAAAATGCCCTAAACTGCAGCCTGGGGCAGGAGGAGTTTGGGAGTTGGGGACAGTAAAAATCACTGTATCAACTACACCTTCTTGAAAAATCAAGTGTTTGGGTGGGAAAAATGATCCTTTTGGTTCTTCCTTTGCAGAAACAGGCAGAGGGTTCTTACCTGGAGAATATTTACCTATGGAGGAAATGCCGGGTGCATTTCCTGGTAATAACTGGAATTTGTTGATGTCAGGGTCTATGGGGAGTTTCAATAAGTGTGGAAACTCTTTGCAGCTGCCAGTGCCCCACCAGCAGCATCCACATTCTGTGCCAGGGGATGCTTGTCCTGTTTCTTTGGGTTCTTTCCTTCCAAATATTCCACCAATGGCTCTGGTGGGGTCAGTTTTGCTTTGGTGAACCTGTGAATGTTGAACTTTGCCTTGGGGAATAGTGCATGGCCAGGGAAAGGCTGAGCAGGGAAAGAGTTTAGGAAAAACCATGAACCAGATGGGAAAATGTTCCCAATGTGGGAGGTTGGAGCAGCGACAAGAGGAGCGAGCAAAGGCTGGGACAGGAAAGAGTGAACAAAAACCAGCCCTGGGGAAAGGAAGAGGGTTAGAAAAAGGCTGTGACTGCCTGGGGGGCACTTTGGGGGATTATCAGCTGTGCAAGTCCTTGAGACAACACCTTCCCAGGGCACACAGAGTCGGCAGCAGCCAAGGCTGAGTTGGGAAAACAAAGCCAGTCCTGGTGCTTTGAAGGCCCAAATCACCTAAAGCCACTGAAGGGAAAAGGGGGCTTGACTTTCCTGGCAGGAAAGTGCCCCAAATGAGGCATTTGGCACTGCCCAGTTCCCGGCCTGAGCAGGAACTCGCTTGGTTTGCACAGACTCGGCTGCTGCGATGGAGCTGCTGCAGCAGAGAGCGGAGGGAGGCACCAGGAAAACCAGCTCCTCTTTTGGGGAGGTTGTTTCCAAGCTGTGCTTGAGTTTAGTGGGTGTGGGCACTAAATCAGTTCAAAAAGCCACGGGGGAGTGTTACAGCCCACCCTGCCAGGCTGGAGGAACTTTTGTTTGATTCTTGTATCCCCTGGAGTGAATGAAAGTGAACCAATCCTGGATGATCAGTGTTTGCAGAGACAGAGAGAGAGAGCATTTATTTGAGAGCAGTTGCAAAGGCAAACAGGTGTGGAGCCCTTTGGGTTGTGATCCAGCCCCCCCAAGGCAATGTGGGAGGGAAAAGAGAGCAAGAGAGAGAAAAGAATTGTAATAAATTAGTAGTAGTAAAGTAATTTGCTCATCAAATTGTATTGCATGTTATATTCCTATATATATATTATTGTAGTCAATGTTCTGTTAAGGCTGGGGGACTGTAAATTGCAGAATGGTTCATTAATCGGTCAGCATCATAGGCTGATAGTCCTGCAGCTTGCAGTTCTTAAGCTGACAAGTTATTTGGCCTTGCTGAATAAGTATTTTGTATCTTGTTTTTCTAAAAGCATATTGTCTCATAGCACACGCATAAAGTAACGAAGGGAAGGACAAGGATCAAAGGGTCAAGTACGAGGATGATAAAAAGGATCCAAGATGGACATCTGGAGAGACCCACACACTAAGCTACACACTGGGCCACAAGGATGAAGGACTAATTAAAACTATGGATAGGAAAGTACCTGGCAACTGAAGCGAGCCTGCAAAAGAACCAACCAGACCCAGATCTGCGAACTCGGATCCAATAGAGGGATAACAAGTGACTATGGGAGGGGAACTGATAAGGGAATAAAAGTTACTGTTTTTGCCCACTGTGCCTGCGGGCCGTGAGTGGAGCAGGGTCTCCCCGGCACCCAGCGCTGTTTTGCTTATTTGCCTTTTATATAAATCTTCAATAAATTTTTTATTGCTATATTTCAGGCCAATTTCATTTACTTATAACACTGAGCTGCCTGTGAGGGTGTTCTGGGAGGCAGGGTCAAAAGCCTTGCTGAAGTCATGGCAGACAACAGGCACTGCTCTCCCCTCATCTACCCAGCCAGTCACTCCAGCACAGAAGGCCAGGAGACTGGTCAAGCATGATTTTGCCTTCCTTTTATTCCACAGGCTTAGAGATGACATGCAGCATGAGCTGTTCTGTCCCCTTTCTGGGGATGGAGGTGACCGTATTGGGCCTGTCATTTCCTGGGTCCATCTTGCTGCCCTTTTGGAAGACTGGAGTGATGTCGGCTTTCCTGCAGTCGTCGGGCACCTCTGCTGGGGAATCAGCGTCCCTGATGTGCTGGCAGTGTTCCCCGTGCCAGGGGCAGGAGCAGAGATTTGCCTTGGCCAGGGCCGGAGCCCTGGAGTGGCACTGCCTGAACAGCACTTTTCATCCAACAGTCCTCGGTGGCTGCCCCAGGGCCTGGCATTGGACGGGGCAGCAGCAGCAGCAGCAGCCGCCCCGGCTCTGTGGTTACCGAGGGCTCGGGACCCACCTCGGAACCTCGGTTACCAAGGGGCCGCCTCACACTGGGGGGGGCTGAGGCCATCCCTGCCTGTATTTCAGGTGCACGATGCTGATGTCACAGTGGCCACTGTGACCCGTGAGGCCAAGGGCACAAAAGCGGACTCTGGGCTCAGGCCCAGTGCCAGTGTTACCTGACCACCAGAGGAGAAGGAAGAGGAGGGACAGCGCTGCCCAGGGAGAGCCTCACAGCTTGGGGCTCTTGGCCTGGGCTGCAGCCACAGCCACCTCGCCCTTCTCAGAATCAGCAAAGGAGCATTTTGAGGAGAATACAGTGAATTGGACAAAAGGAGGAGAAGGTGAACAGAGACAGGAATCAGGGGCAGTAGGGGGGCCCAGCCCCCCGGGCTCTGCCCCTCTGTTGCAAACGCCTCTCACTTCTTTGCACAGACAGTGTAGGAGCACCTGGAGGAGACCTCGGTGTTCCAGAGACTCCCTGCTGACAGTCACCATGTCAGACAGGGAGGAGGAGGAGGCCCCGGAAGGGAGGGAGTCAGGTGAGAGCAAAGTGCCCCTCCCTCAGCCTGGCAGAGGGGCTCTTGGGGCAGGCAGTACAGGTGCCATGCCCGGGGCCATTGTCTCTCTCCCCTCCAGCATGCCTGCTGTGTCGGCGATCAGAGGCTGACCCGGACATCTGTGGAGATAAAATCCAGAAACGTGGGCTCTGTGCCCACGTGTTCTGCCTGGTGAGTTGCTCTGTGGGCTCCCTCCAGCTTTCCAATGGGCAGTTCCCACCACACTCTCTCCTCATCAGTGCATCATCTTTCCTGCAGTTTTTTGCCAGCCTCCTTGATCAGCAAGAGGATGAACGAGTAGGACTCCTGGGCTTTCTCCCAAGGGATATCCTACATGCAGTCAACCGGGCGGCACAGCAGGTGAGAGCCTGACAAGAGTAGGTAAAGATTTGCCAGGCGAGGTTTGCTGGAGCTTAGCCCAGACCCCAGGCAAGAAAGCCCAGCCCTTCCAACCAGCTGTGGGACAAGGAGGAGGCCGTGAGGCTGCTGCTGATGGGGCTGCTCTGCTCTTTCCAGAGCTGCTGCATCTGTGGCCAGAGCGGGGCCACCATCGCCTGCTGTGGAACAGACTGTGACCTGAGCTTCCACCTGCCCTGTGCCAAGCAGGGAGGCTGTGTCACCCAGTACATTACACCGTACAGGTACCTCCTGTCCCCTCCTCCCACCACCGGGAAAGGGCCCAGCACTTCTCACCTCACCCACCCCTTTTCCCCCCAGGGCCTTCTGCCCCACACACAGCCCACAGCAGGCAGTGGAGGCGACTCCAGAGCCGGGCACCGAATGCCTCATCTGCATGGAGCCTGTGGAGGACAGAAAGACCTTCAACACCCTGGTGTGCCCAGCCTGCAAAACCGCCTGGTTCCACAGGGACTGCATCCAAGTAGGAGTGGTTCCCTCAGCCCGGGGGGCACAGCAGGGGCTCAGCAGCACCAGGGCCTCACTCGGGCTGCTTGTGTTTCTCCTGCAGGGACAGGCTCTGCATGCTGCATTTTTAGCCCTCCAGTGTCCCATCTGCAGAAACAGGGAGGAATTTCTCATGGAGATGTTCACCATGGGGATCCGAATCCCCTTCAGGTTGGTGTCCTTCTGCCTGGCTCCCAACACAGGGGGTACAAGTGCTGTGCTGTGCCAGGGCCTGCCCCAGCAGTCCTGGCCCTGCACTGTTCCGTGAGTCCCGGGTTCAGCTTCCCACAGGAGTTGGAAATGGCACAGGGGGAAGAGCAGGGACACCCTGCACCTGCCCAGGGCAGGGGAAGCTCATCAGTTTTCCCTTTTCCATCAGAGAGCCATCATGGGAGGAGAATGATGCGTTCGCTGAGCAAGGAGAGAGACACAGGCACTGCGATGCCAGTGAGTGCCTTTGTCCAGGAGGCAGGCAGGAGGCAGAGGAACAGGGGTAAGTTGCCAAAGCTGCCTCCCAGGGCTCTGCAGGGCTTGAAGGACCCAGGAGAAGAGCTCAGCCAGATAATCCCACGCTTTGGACACTTTGTCCTCACCTCCATGAACCCGTTTGCTTCGCCAGGCCCTGGCAACTGTTCCTGTGCTCCTCCTGTGCTGCCCAGGGCACCCACAGACACTGCTCTGGCCTGAGGGACAGCACAACCAGCTGGGAATGTGATGGCTGTGCTGGTCTGTGCCATGGCCCAAAGGGAAAGGGGACAGGGACGCAGCACAGCACAGAGGGTTCTCACACAGCAGAAGGTCAGGGGCACAATGCCAATTTATTAGGAGAGACACAGACTTAAACAGGGTTTGGGTAAGGGGAGGTTCAATAACTGGGGTGGAGCACGGGACTGACAGCTCGGGGCAGAACAGGATTGGGGGAGAGGGAAAAGGTGGGTGGAACTTCGGGGTATCCAGGGGAAAGGAGCAATGGGAGCTCCCTCTGCACTGCGGCAACCAGCAGCCAATCAGAGAGAGAGGAGCGGGAAAGCAGGGGAGAACAAGGGAGTGAACAACTTTTGGAGGGAAAAATGTGAGGGCAAGTCCAGGCAAGCCCTGAACAGTACAAACCATAGGGAATAACATGGGGATACATTGAACTGAGTATAAAACTGGTAATAAACTGGGGAATAACAAGTCAGTCCATGGAATAACAGTCTTTTCAGGCCCCATAAACATCTCTCCAGGCCTGGAATCGTTCCCAGTCTGTAATAAATTAGCAGTAGGGGTTTAATTTACTCATCAAATTTGTAGTAGTTTACTTATTAAGTTGTATTGCATGTTATATTCTGTTCTTATATATACATATATATTATTACAATCAATGTTCTGTTAAGGTTGGGAGACTGTAAGTTGTAGAATGGTTCATTAATCTGTCAACATTGTAAGCTGATAGTCATGCAGTTTGCAGTCCTTGAGCTGGACAGACAAACTATTGTGCCTTGCTGAATAAGTATTTTAGTATTTTATTTTTCTAAAAGCTCATTGTCTCATAGCACACACATAAGGTAATGAAGAGAAGGACAAAGATCAAAGGATCCACCACGAGAACGATCCAGAGTATCCAAGATGGACATCTGGAGATACCTACACACGAGGCCTCAAGGACTAAGAGCTAATTAAAACTGTGGAATGGAAAGCACCTGGCAACTGAAATGAGCCTGCAGGGAAGCCAACCAGAACCAAACCTGCAAACTCAAATCCAATAGAAGAATAACAAGTGATTATGGGAGCGGAACTAATGAAGGAATAAAAGTTGCTGGTTTTGCTTTCTATGTTTGCGTGCCGTGTGTGGAGCAGGAGTCTCCCCGGCCGCCCAGCGCGCTGCTTTGCTTATCTGCTTTTTATATAAATCTTCAATAAATTTTTTTACTATTATATTTCAGCCTAGTTTCATTTACATATAACAGCTGTGACAAGAAGTGCCTGTCAGAACTGCAAAGATGGACCAACAAGAATTTTCTGGGGGGATCTTCTCTGCTCTGCCCTGCACACCTTTGTGCTGGGCTCA